TAACCAAGCAGCCAGCACCAGCACCAGCACCAGCACCAGCGATTTTCATCCTGCTACCTCCTCAAGAGGCTGCCAAGCTTTGCGTGAGACTTGACAACAGGCAGACGAGCACCAGCAGGACAGCAGCTGGACCCCTGCTGGTATATGCGGATGCCGCCAGCGATGCTGCAGGGCTCCCTTGAGTCGACGGTTTCGGGCTAGGAGGCGGGCTAGGAGGCGCTGGGGGAGCTGTGAGCAAGGAGGAGAGGCCGTTGGCTGCCACGTCTTCCGTGAGCTTCTCCATGGTGAGGGGCGATGCGCTGTAAGCGCTGTCGTAGGTGACCTCCGTTGTCACGCTCAGCCCGCTGCCGAGCAGACGCCGTCCTGTCCCTGACGACTTTCCCAACACTTTCACGAGCCTGACGCTCGTCCTGACTACCATGGCAGCGTCAGCGACGGCTTGAAGAAACTTCTCCTCGACGGCGTTGAAGTCTTGGAGCGACAAGTACACGGTGAAAGCTTGATCCACTGCCTGGCTTTGACAAGGTTGCAGACCGGCATTGTATTGCAAGGAGGGATACCAGGAGGTATGGTAGCACGAGAGCGGGTTTGAAGTCAGATCTATGACCGTTGTGTTTCGCTGGTTGACGAACGCGATGGCTGGAAGGTACTTGAATTCGTTGTCTCGCAGGTCAAGAGTCTCCAGGTTCACCAGGTTCTTGAAGAGCCGCCGGGGGAGACTTCCCAAGTTGCTATTCATGTAGATTGAAAGGTGATAACTTGTCAAAGATCCCAGCTGGCAGGCTTGCTAGTTGGCACATAGCTATGCTCAGATCGTAGATAGCCAGTGAGCGTTTGAAAGACATCAGCCTTGATGCTCGAACCATCAAACCCTTCCAATGATAGAGCGTTCAAGCTCAAGGTTGTAGTATAGTTGCAGAACTGCTGTTTCCTTGAAAGTTCCCGATGGGAATCTAGGAAGAAGTTCGGTATCAACACTCTCAATCATCCCCTGACAAGTATTGCTGCTGTCGATCACATTTCGGCGTTGAAGTTCCAAATAATCCAACTAACCGATGTTGACTATATCTTCCGGGGCACTTGTCAGCTTGTTGCCGGAGAGTCTCACCCTTGGCAGGGGGGGGCGGGGAGGGGAGTCATCATGGTGGGTGTGGCGTGACTCCCGGGACCATCAGCTGGCCGAGCCTCGGAGCCTTCGAAGTTCCGAGCGTCAGGCCCGAGTCCGAGTACTACTGACAATGCAGAGGACTGTCGCGCGGCACAGGCAGAGTCATAGTTTTACGGTACCCTGTCAAACCAATGGAGTTAGAGGGGTACTCAATTGCAAAATACCACCCCCCTACCCTTCACCCTCCACCCTCTCCAGCAATCCTTGCCGGACCATTTCTGCCCTCTTGTACCAGGTAATACCCCACCCCTTGCAATGAAACTTTTAGTACCACCTGAAATTCCGGGAATGGGCCCTACCCACCCACTGGGGTCATGACCGGCATTTAGACTATAGGTAGGAGGGGTAAAATGCCACCAGCATACCCTTGCCTTTCTCACATAGACCCCTCTTTGTTTCCCACTAGCCTCCATGCGACTACCCACCCCCTTCAATTCCCATGTCAGACAATGATCCCGAAATAAGGTTGCGATAAATTCATGGGGTGATTATTACTCATGGGTGGGTGGTACATGGTGGTTTCAGAGGTATGGGGGTGGGTACGACTCAATACTTGGTGAATACCCCTACCTTATGTTGATCTTGAGGGGGTGGGGGGATTGGTCCAAAAAGTGATTACTGGTGAGACATAGGGGTGCTGGATATTTAGGGGGTGATACGAGGTCCTGAAGGGGTGGGGGTACTCGTTAGCGGAGGATGCGGAATGAGTTCGGCATTCAACGTGTCTGAGGGTCATGGCGGCTGAGTGCGGGATGGGAGGAGAAGCAGAAGTAGACATAGCATGTCAATGGTCGCAACATTTGTCACAGCTCGTCTCGTGCTTTGTTTCCTTCACTTTGTTTTGAACTGTGCGACTATGCTGCAGTTTCCAGAGCGAAATCTGCACCTAGCAATGTGAAGAGTGATCGCATGCCTCGAACGATCACATAACGAAAAATCTCCCATGTTATGCACTTCTGTGTAAGATGTGTTTTGAAACTTGACATTCGATCATTTCTATGGTAAGACCAGTCATATTTGATGCTGACATTGAGGGGTGACGCTTGAGCTCCACCCCCATGGCACGCGAGCTCACGCAGCAGGATGATCGAACAATTGGGCCATATGGTGTGAGCATAGAGCATCGATGTTTTCAAAAGCGATCTGTGCGACTGCTTTCAACTCCCTAAACATCTTAGTTACATTTCAGACTACATGCGCTTTGAAACGGATTTAGCTAATAATACACTGTACTGACGTTTGACGTGGAAAAGGTAGAACGAATCTCCACCGTAGAAGTTTTTCTCTTGGAGAGCGGCAGCTCACATTGTTTCCGAATGATGTTTGAGTTGCTGGCTCGCATGGCATCACCCGCCGACATGTAATCGCATTTCGAAAATGTTGCGTGACTCTCACCAGCTGCTGCCTCCAGTGAAACGGATTCTGCGAGAACCATGTCCTTGGACGAGCTTCTGGGTAATGGAGGTAAGTGCATATCATTAGCTTCGTCAAAGACTCTTGTTGATGTTCATATCTCAACAGACTCCACCTCCTTCTACAAACACATGGGTGCGAGGGTTGTGGGGTCGTTGTATGGTCACCATGTTTATGAATTCGTGCCCAAGTCTCGAGCATGGTACATTCACCCACAAGGTGAGGAGGCGAGTAGATTCATTGAGGAACTGATTAGCATGCAACAGAATGGACGCTCACCATGAAGACCCGACACGGATCTTCACCTTGAAACGGCCTAGAACCGTCACGCTGAAGGCTTGATAGCTGCCCCAGGCCATAGCGCAATTTTACTTGGATTCAGACCGAACATAGAGGCATGGCATGTGCCTAATCATACCTAAAACCAACTTTGAAGTGCCTCACTGCCGTGTCACGGTGTCATAGTGTTTCTTTACGCTACCGTTGCCCTGGCTTGCCAGTGACGGAGGCTTCCGAGTCATTCGCAGACTGGGTCAAAGAGTCACAGAGTCACTTCCAGTGTCACCAACCCAGTAGGTCTTCTTCACCGTAACGGTGGCCTTGCCGGGAGTACCGTCCGGTCACTGAGCACGCCACCGGGCGGCCCGGCCGGTGTAAACCCGGCATGTCCTGCAATTGTCCTGCGTTTTTACTAGATTCTGGATTCTTCTGCAACCCAGTTACCCCTGCACCATGGCAACGTTGAGCGCGAGGGGGGTGGCGGCGAAGAAGCCAGGGAGGGACGACCTTGAGCAGTTCATGCGAGGGCTGTCCGATCCTTTCCACCCCTCTACGAACCCTGCCGGCTACCTGGTTCTTCTCGTGGCAGAGAACAAGTTGAGTTGGCCCCTCCTCAAGGCAAAGATGGAGAAAGTAGGAGAGATTCCTGACTGGGTGTCCGGGTATGGCGACCTCAGGGGAGAGGACAACTTCAGGACACAGGTTGCCAAGATGATGGAGAAGAGCTTCATCGGTGCGCCGGTAGATAAGGAGTGCATCGTCGCGCAGGTATCCCGACCTTGACGTTGGCTCGGCAGGACTGACGATGTTTGGCAGGCTGGAGCAGGATCGCTGATCGACACGCTCTGTTGGTGTGTGGCGGAGGAAGGAGACGTCTGCATCATACCGGCCCCCATGTACTCTGCGTTTCAGAACGATCTGTATGCCAGGGCAAGGATCAGAATGAAAGTAGCCCACACGAAACACCCGGAGTACAAGATCACGAGGGAGGTTCTGGAGGAATCGTATCAGAGCAGCATGAAGGAGGGAGGGACTCCCAAGATCCTCCTCATCTGCAATCCTTGCAATCCCACTGGGTTGATCTATGATGAGGAGACGCTCGAGATGTGCGTGCGGTGGTGTGCAGAGAAGAACATGCACTTTATCAGCGACGAGATCTACGGCAACTCGATCTTCCCCGATGTCAAGTTTACCTCGGTCGCCAAGGTGTGCAGGAGATTGAATGCAGGACCGTCAAAGGGGAGTGATGAATCAAACTACCTTGGCAACCAAGTTCACATCGTCTCCGGCTTCTCGAAGGACTTTGGGATATCAGGGATGCGAGTGGGTAAGGAGTGACTTTTGTGGGTGCTGAGAGACTGATCGGGTACGAAGGTACTCTGTTTTCACACAACCGTGATCTCCTGTCCGCTGCCAACAACCTCACCTACTTCCAAGCTGTGTCCAACCACACTCAGTGGATCTTGTCGCAGTGCCTGGCAGACGAGCAGTTCTTGCAGAACTACATCTCAGACGTACAAAGGAGGCTCTACGTCTGCTACAAGGGGCTGGAGGAAGCGCTTGCCGCCATCGATGTTCCTCTCACACCAGCTCAGGGGACGCTGATGGCATGGGCTGACTTCCGGAAGTATCTTCCCGAGCTCACGTGGGAGGGGGAGAAGCAGCTGTGGTTGGAGCTGTTCGACAAGGCCAAGATTTTGTTCACCACTGGTAAGTCCTGCCAGAGTGAAGTCCCGGGCTTCTTCCGCATATGCTACGCATGGCCAAAGGCAACGGACGAGGATCCTGCGATTGCGATGAAAGAGCTCAAGTCGCGTTTGATCAAGCACTTTGCTGGAGCCAAGAAATGAGCAAAGAAATGAGATTGTGATGTAGATCGGGTAAAGTCGATGAGAATCCAAGCAAGCAGGCTTCTCTTGGGTCTCACTCACCCAACAAACGCACGATGTCTCCAGCAGAAGACATTTGAACTACAAGCTGGAAGCTGCGACAGGATCAGCAACCTCTGGCAGGCTCACCTGCTCCAGTACCTGCTCTCTGATGTCTGGTGGTTTCTATCCGGCAGAGGCTCTTCCTCGTCGTCAACCTCCTCCTCCTCCTCCTTCCCCGCAGCGTTGACTAGCGCCCTGCGCATCCCAACAATCGGGTGTGGCATGCGAAGTCCATTGACGGCAAACAGGAGGCTCCCTTCCTCGCTCTTGAGGTCCACAAAAACCTTCGTGCTACTGAGCGCAAGGAGGAGGAGGGGGAGGAGGAGGGGTTGGGAGGAAGAAGCAGGAGCAGGAGCAGGAGCAGGAGCAGGAGCAGGAGCAGGAGCAGAAAGAGGGGGAGGGAGGGGGGAAGGATGGGAGGAGCAGGGGGAGGAGCAGCAGTTACTTCTATCACGTCTCCTTCTTGCACCACAAAGTCCTCCCCGTGATGATTGAGAGTGTTGGTTGGCACCTTGCTCGACGCCTCCATCTGCCCGCCGGAGGCTGCCGGGTCGTCGTCGTAGTGGTAGAAGAAGAGCATCTCTTGCCCGCTGAACAGATTTCCTCTCCTGCTGTTAAGGTAGAACACTCGCCCTGTAGCCTCAGGCATCGTTGACCAGCAGCTGCGGGTGGTCAGGAGGCTCAAGTCAACTGACGCCTCCTCACCTTCCGAGTGGGAGCGAGTCCTTGACGATGATGCCGACACTGAGAGCTCCCTTGTCGCTCTTCTTGGCCACGAGCACTCGAAAGCTGCGGCAACTCTCAACCGCCTCCTCTAACGTCTCCTCCATCCTCTCCTCCATCCTCTTCTCCCCCAACCTCTTCTTCCCAGCTCATCCTCTCCTCCTCCCCTCCTCCAACCTCTTGTCCTCTCCCTCTCTGACTTCCATCTTCGATCTGGCCTCAGGGTATCCCGACACGTTGGTCACTATGGGAAACCCGTCCTGCTGAGCGGAGATGAATTGCCCGTTCACGACACCCTGCAGCGCCTCCTCTCCCATGGTCACCTCCTCCTCCTCCTCCTCCTCCTCCCCCCGATCCCCGTCCATCGACTTGAAGCCCATCAGCGAGACTTGCATGAAGTACATCTCCTGCCACCTGCGTATCCTCTCACAGCTCCTCCTCCATCGTCCTCGTCCTCACGGCGTCCGCGACGTCGCGCTCGCCCGCAGCTCTTCTTCTCCGCTGATGCTGGGAACAGATTCGACCGCTGCCTCCTGCTCGTCACCATCAACCGCTGCTCAGCAACCTCAGCTGCAGACGTTGACGGAATGTCTTCCTGTAAGAGAAGAGAAGGTTCATGGAGGAAGGGGGGAGTGGTACAGGAGCGTCAGACCTGACTTGATGGAGCTCCGGGTTGAAAGCTTCAAGGGGGAAGGAGAGAGGGTCAGAGCTCGAGGCATGTCACCAGCACTCTCCTCACCCTCCTTGTGCTCGCCAACGAGCTTCTCCCTGTAGATCCTCGCTGTAGTAGCAGCCGTCAACTCACTCCTCCCTCTCTCCCTCCCTCCCTCCCTCCCTCCCTCC